TTTGCACCTGGCTGCTACTGCTACTGCTCACTGCTACTGCCCACATTAGCACGGACTTTATATGGCCTTCTTTTTCCCATTAGTAGCCTCCGCCTTGAAGTCTGGTTGACAAAATCTGTGTCATGTACAGAACCTGTATCTTAGCTGTAAGAGGAATATCCCAATACAGGGAAATAGGCTCCAACTCATCAGATGGAAGATTTGTCAAAGCAAAGAGCAAGTGCCAGGGAGCAGAAAAATGTTCATTACATTGTTTTATAGACATGTTAAACTCTTTATGAACTTAATTTGAACTCCTGGTTCAAACTCTCAAAAACTTCTTGTATTCTCCTAATGATCCAGGCATTAAAGGCAGAGATATATACGTTTTCATGCTATATCCTCTTGTACCCCTCCCCAGGAGTTACATCACAAATATCTCTTGAATCCATTCACTTCTCTCCAGATCCACTACTATCATTTAAATCCAATATTTGTTTTACATAGAATATTCCTAAATGCTCTCACCTATTTTAACAGCTTTATTGAGATATAATTTACATGCAACACTGTTCATCCAATTAAAGGTACAATTCAATGATTTTTCAGTATTTTCACACAGTTATGATACACACTGATCACAACAATCTATTTTAAAACATTTTCATCACCCCCAAAAGAAACCCCATATATTAGCAGTCACTCTCCATTTCCTCCCAATGCTCCTAAACTTAGGTAACCATGAATCTACTTTCTGCCTAAATAGAGATGCCTATTTTGGACATTGCAAATGAATGGAATCACATTGTACATAGTCTTTTGTGACTGGCTTCTTGTACTTGTAGTATGTTTTCAAGGTTTATCCATGTTGTAGCATCTATCAGCATTTCATTTCTTTTCTGAGTAACATTACCCACAAAATGTGGATGCATCACACTTCATGCATTCAACCATGATTCAATAGACATTTGGATTATTTCTACTTTTTTGCTATTCTGAATAATGCTGCTATGAACAATCATGCACAAGTTTTGTATGAACATATATTCTCAATACTTTTGGATATATACCTAGGAGTGGAAATCCTGGGTCATATGCTATCTCCATTTTTATCATTTTAAGAACTGCTAGACTGTTTTTCCAAAGTAACTACTCAATTTCACATTCCCACCAGCAACATGTTCAACATTTCTCCACACTCTCACTGATGCTTGTCCATAGTTTTTATTATATGCATCCTAGTGGAGTGAATATCTCATTGTAGTTTTGATTTGCATTTCTCTTACTACTAATGACACTGAGCATCTTTTTGTGCATACTGGCCATCTGTATATCTTCTCTGAAGAATGTCTATTCAAATCCTTTGCCCATCTATATATTGTTATGTGTTCTTTTTATATTTTAGAAACAAGTACCTTATCAGATGTGATTTGAAAGTATTTTCTACTGTATTGTAGATTTTTTATTTTCTTGATAATGTTCTTTGAGGCACAATTAAAAAAATTTTTTTTACAAGCACAATTTATTTTCACTTTGGTTACTTTTGCTTTTGGTGTTACACCTAAGAAATCATTGCCTATTCCAAGGTCATAAAGATTGAAATTATGTTTTCTCCTAGGTCTTTGCTCCATTTTGTGCTAATTTTTTATATGGTGTGATATATAGGAGTCCAAATCCATTAATTTGCATGTGGATATCCAGTTGACACATGACCATTTGTTGAAAAGACTGTCCTTTCAATAATGAATTGTCTTGGTACTCTTGTCAACAATCAACTAACTGTAAATACATAGGTAATATATGTAACATATAAAGTAAGCTTAAGCTGAGCAAAGAGACAAAAGTGAAAATGCTCTTAAGAGTCAAGAGCACAGAGGGTGGATATGGAACAGAGATCAGATGAGCTCAATAAGCTTAGCAGCAATTAGTTGAACTGGTGTAGGATAAGACAAGAAGAACCTGAATGTCAGGAGGGCACATTGATGGAAAACAAAGAACCCCTTGCCATGGGACATATACTGTGGACAACAGTGATTATGTCCCAGCTTTTATTTCATTATATTTTTCCCTGGATACCTGTGGGTCCCCTTTTTAAAAAGTTATCATTATCCTTGTTATTTTTAAACCAATGAGATGTCATAGGCACTTAATGTGACTTACTGGCATTTTCATGACCTTTATTCCCAGGACATATACTTTGAGGTATGAGTTCAAGGTTCCTCTATAGAGATGTGCTAACCTTTAGATCCCTCAAGTGGGAGATTGTCCCCCCTTTATACTGAACAGTAATTTAATCACTTGGGTACCTTCTGATCTTTCTACTCTAATCATTGGTTTTTTGTGTGTTTAATTTCCTTTCCAAGTTTGTTGCTATTCTAGGTCTCAAACTTTAAGAAATACAAAATATTACAGTAATTGACTTTATGCATCTTTTTCCTTCTTAAAGAAGGAAAAGTTTGAACTTTATAGTCGGTGAGCACATTCTACACAGAAAATGTATTTAGCACGATGAGGTGCTTAGCACCATGCCAGGCGCTGTGGAAGAAAAGAACCGTATGACAGTCTGCCAGATTTGGTTTACTGCAGTAGCAAGACACAGAAAAGGGAAATAAGACAGTGTGTAATAAAGAACTGAATAGAATGTTGTCAAAGATCAAAATACAAAATGCAGTGAGGATAACAGGTGTTGAAAAAGGGGAGAAACTTGCTGGAGCTACTTTGAATTTGGGTAATGGCTCAGGAGCCTAGTGAGGTGAGAGGACATGCAATGTAGGAGTTAAAGCACTGAGCATGAGTAAACACATGGAAGAGGAATGAGTGTCACTCACGAAAGAGAAAGAATAGATACCTTTTACAACAAGGTTAATTTGTGAAGGACCCTATGGACCAACAAGTCTGACTTTGATCTAGTGAGCAATGCAGTTACTACATGCCCTTCAGTAGGAAAAGGCATGAAGTTTTTCTGGCAAGTAAAGATCAAGGAGTGGGATCAGTGAAGTTAGAATCCAGGTCACACTATTCAGTTATCAAGAATAGATGACAAAAAAGAAGTCAGAACAATACCCAGCACGTTATCAGCATTCAGTAAAAAAATGTCAGCTATTATAAAATAACTTCAGGGACTGGCATGGTAGTAGTAGAAAGGTTGGGGAAATAAATCTTATTGGAAAAAGAAACAGCACGATCAGTTTCAAAAGTATTGGTTTCATTTTATGAGGATCACTCCCAGATTTTTTGAGCCTTGGTTATCTACAAAAGGCTAAGAGGATGAGAAGTCCTCTTAACTTACAGATTTTCCTATAGGAACACGTATTTAACTACTCTGAAAAGTAGTTGTTGATTGTATAATATTCCTAATTTTTTAATTGATAGTCTGTTCTTTGGGAACAGACAGGTCTACTTTTAATTCCATTTCAACATTTTAAATCTATTACCATATGAATAAAAATTCTCCAATTTTTTGAGAAAATGAGGCAATGTCTAGTTCTACATTTAGAACTAGAGACAGATTCAAATCATGGCTCCATTTTGGGTAATCTTGAGCATGTTACTGAACCACTCTGAGCCTTTTTATTATAAAATGGGACTGCAAATTACTCAAAGGTTTGTTGTGGGGGTTCAATGACATTAACGTATTCTACACTTGGACCTTACACTTGTAGGCACTCAAAAAATTCAAAAATTCTCCCCTTCACCTTAATAAGATAGGAGTTACATCTCTAACCAGATCCAACTGTCTGTGAACTTCAGGATGTAACAGATTGTAAAGCAATGGCTGGAGTGAAATAGGAATGTGAACTTATCTTTTGAAAATAAGAAATAGTTCTAGAAACTGCTTCATCTTGGGTTTTAGGTTGGCGATCTTTCAGGGAAGTACATGAGAGATCCTACTTCCCACCAGATCTACTCATGGAAAGATGGTGTCCGGTATGTGAATTCTTCATCTCTACTTGCAGGGGGCTATTTAAGGTTTGTCATACAGTTCCTATTATCCCACTGGATCTGACACTATTCAAACATACCAGTTTCTTGTTAAGAAAGCAAGCTACAGACTCTATAGAGAATAGACTGACAGCTGTCAGAGGGGAGGGTGGTTGTGGGGCTGGGTGAAAAACGTGAAGGGATTAAGCAAAATACACACACACACACACACACACACACACACACACACACACACGAAAGCAAGGTACAAACCCCTAAAGATTGAATATCGGGCCTTCTGAAAATCTTCCCAAGCCTTTAACTCAATACTAATGTGTGTGT